TTACGTGTTCTCAGTGTGTCCCAAAGGTACGATTTTCGTACTTATTGTCCTCTGTCATGCATTCTTTTCAAACGAGCTGTAACCCCACGGACGTAGGTTATCAGTATTACAAAAGATTTACCAAATTTTTAACAAGTTCTTCGCACGCGTCAAATTATTTGTCTCCTTCGTGTAACGTTTAATGATGATCGATTAATCCCACCACGCAATACTGAATATTAAAATGACATTGAATGGACATATGTTGGTCAAACAGATGTCCATTGGATACCATTTAAATATTTTCTATTGCACGGGACTTACAATCAGTACATGATCTAGAATGAAATGTGTTTGAATTGCAATTTACACCATTATCATTTGTCTAAGTATTTGCAATAATCGATTAAAATGATTCAAACCGAAATTTATACTCCTTTTGTAACGCATTCTTTTACATAGTCTTATTAGCAGTAACAAGGGAAATTCATAAAATCATCTATCTGGCTCTTGAATTGGTGTAGTATAATTATAATAAATAACAAGTAATAGCAAAGTTACGCAGGATGAGGTTCCTGCAATAATCCAAGATTCCGTGATGGGCGCGTCAGTGAAAATGTTGAAGAAAATGAAAATGCACGTGCGCATAATCACTCTTAATAAGCACTTGGGCAAGGGATGTTCGTGTTGGAGTACAGTTAGGACCGTGAATTTTTTATTACCACCCCCTTACCCTCCGGCGACTCCCGTATCGCCATTGGCCCTCATTCCTTCCATCAACCCTGCTTCCCTTCCTTCATATAATTCCAAACAAATTTAATTTCGGCCAGTCTCTTTTTATCGTTCCATGGCGAAAACACTGGCGTCAACGTCCTCCGCATAAAGCGCGGACCAGTAGACGTAGAAAAGCCCTGCCTGCTGCACCCTCCCTCCTTTTGGGGTGTTTTCCGCCCCCCTAAGCTCCTTGCAAGATGTAATCTCTTTCCACGTATTGCGGCGTGAATAACATCCCTGCATTTTTCGTTTATGTCTCTCGCGCACGCAATGACCCGCGAAAGTGATATAAAAGCAGAAGGCGTACAGCTACGGGAATAATCAATCAGCAGGGGGCGATCGTATCCTCCGATGAAAACGTCTTCGCCAAAGCTGTTTCGCCTGGTGAAACACGTGGCGGATGTTTGACGAAAAAAGCGACACGCCATTACTGTCACACTGTACGCAAAAGAATTTGTAACAGACTTAGAAAAATCGAAGACATGCAACGAGATAAAGACGAAATAACTGTACTTATTCGACAAAGTCGTATTACGAATTAACTATATTACGCAAATTTTCTAGACTGTTCTCGCTCATGCTAAATACTAACGAGTATGACTATCCGATTGCAATCTTGGACACGTAATTCCATCGGGCTCTGCAATTAGTACCACACGACTACTTATTCTAAATTCAGTTCTGAATTTTTCATAATCCTTATCCATACTCGCGGATGGACTGTCCTCTCGTTTAATAATGACTATAAGTTTATTTCAGAGAGTCCGCTTGAATTTTCCTACAAGAATAAAAACGCATTGTTCATTCCGATGTCGTTCACTTTTTTTTTAGATTTCAGTAGTGTTTCTCAGTTACGAATTTTATTTATTTATAAATGAACGAACGCATTGGTGGTTAAATACTGACTGTTTTGCAGATCTGCGCGCAATATCAGTATTATGCTTCGGGCGAATTCGTGCTTATGTCATAGCGAATGGACGATCTATACACGTGGTTAATTCTTAATTAAGTGCACTACACGTAAACAGTGACTGTGCACTCAGGCGCAGTTAGACCGGTATACTCGCTACGTAGCATTCGAATGGTGTAACAATAATAACAATTGAACGAGCATGAGATTGAGTGCTTTTGTTTTGACTAGTTCCACTGTTTTCACTGTAATGAGTATAATTACTGGCGTAATTATTTACTGGACTGTTACCGCAAGTTATGGCTTCTCTTTGAACAATTGATTATGTGGGCACTACCGTGTGATTTGTTTATTACGCGATGCTAAAATGCACCATTTTCTTTCTCTGAAAACCATACGTGTTCGTAATAGCTTGGTGCACATTAACGAGGATATGATTTGAAATGTAATGTAAAACTACATGGATTTAAAAGCAAGTAAACCTTATTGTTGTATATTCTATTTAATTCAAAGCTCGCATAAACATTTATGCGATAAGTGTATGTAATTTTTTTGAAGTCAATCAAATTCAGAGATATTTTCACATTATTACGATATACAGTGAAGACTATATCTCGATCTGTAATTTTCATTATTTCAAGATTTATTATCGATGCAAAAATCATTTTTAATTACAGTTACTGAAAACTGAAGTTGCGTGCATGAATACTTTTTGTAGAGATATCATCACGTAACACAAATAAATTTTTTAATGGAACCGAAACCTTTTACACGACGTGTACTCGTTATTCGGAACGAGAACACGAAAAATAATGTTTCGAATAAATATTGTTCACCAATGAAACTGGTCTGGCTTAAATATGGTATTGTTGAAATTTTACGTCTAAACAAAACATATAACCACTAGAAATTGTACACGTACATGTGTACGAAAACAATGGGTAAACGCCATAAAGTATTCAGTATAGGTAAAAAAGAAACCTGCGTATCTCAACAGGTTGAGATTTGTCTGATATCACAAAACTCCATCATACAGAATGGCGCGTATGAATATCTTATGCCTAGAAATACGTATAAAAAATATAGTCGAAGTGAAGTAATGACAACAAAATAATATTGATAGGGGAGGCGCGTCTTACCGATGGAAAAAATAATATTAGCTGTGAGGAAGATGATTACAGAAAATATTTTTGTCAATACGTAAAAAAAAAAGGAAGCATTCCAGAATTATACAAATAATAGTCTTGAGACTACCGCGGCCATTGCTCGTATGGCTATAATTGGCTTCCCGATCGGAACCGGGTCTGGAAGTCTCAACTTGCCGACGTTTAGCAAACATTGCAGCTTGCTTTATCAGAGCTTGGCTGGCACTCCATCATCAATAATTCCTACGTATTCTCGTACGAACATCAATTTACTCATCGATTGCCGAATGACAGATTGTTCTTTGCTCTGTCGAAAGCAGCATAAAATTTTAATCATTGCACTACGTTCCCAGGTAGTAGGGCACTTTTAGTGACACACTATATGTATATCGTATACTTTGCCGTACTTGCTAGTACTCCGTTTATCATAGACAGACTTTATATAGATACTCTATTGAGTGTTAAATTTATCGAAATGGCCTTGTAACACGCAATGCCAAAGACGGCCCTCTCGCATGCTTCGTCTCACCGCATCGTCATAAAGAGACTCGATTCCACGGAGGCACATGAATTTTTTTCTATCCGCAGAATGAAAGAGACTCTTACGAAAAGTCGTTCTTTAGAAACGACCTATCATGCGCACTCTGATAAGAATTCAGATTGCAATCGTAGGAATATTAAAATATAGGACTAAAATTTCCAAGTAATTTGCATGAGGCGAAGCCATAGCCATTTTGTAGAATAATGAATACGAGGTAAGTCTGTTAATACAGGTAGCCACGTGTACCAGCTGACGTAGGCTCAGCTGCGATGGTAGTGGTGGTATCAGTACCAGTTACTCTCATCCTGAGCAATCCAATCAAAGAAGGTGCTTGCTGAGAGTCTAGTTCCGGAATTGGGGACAGAAGAGGAGGCAAATGAGACGTGAAGAAAGTCTAATTCCTTGGAGAGAACTCTGAAGGGACACTACAGTGTCCCTAGAAGGTTCGAATGGTCGGCAATTCGAGACAGTGCTCTGTCGGTAATGTCCCCTGCGGACATCAGCGCCGGCAGGATTCTACGACGGCGGTTGGAAGACCCATCAAATCCCTTTCAAAAACGGATCGGACATAGGAGAACGGGTTTCTTGATTACCCGAAAACACTTTCGAACCAAGTCCAACTGTTCTGTGGTCAACGAATTTGAAAAAATAGCTGTGAGTAATCGAGAATTTATTGTTACTGTCGCAGACGCGAGAGACGCATTAGGAAATGCACACGATTAAAGTTACTTTAATAGAAATACGTAAATCGTTGTAGTTAATGCCACGGTCGATAAACGTTATTGTAACCGAAGACGATGTCATTCTCGTAGCCAAAACCGTGAAATATTGATCTATGTAAATGACTGTAAGTCATAAAACAATAGTTCGTCATAGTACAGGATGCTCCAACGCGATGAATTTGCATGAGCAAGAATAGTTCGTAATTTTAGAGTTGATTCCATTGGACGTATGTGGGTTGCTCCATTTTTGTAAATGTACCCTTTGAACTTTAAGGGTTTTCTAGTATAGTATAAGCATGATCGTTATTCTAATTTTTGTATTTATATAATTCTGAGACATTGCGTTTTATACATATATGCTTTAGGTGGGTTGACGGTTATGTCTCTGAGTATATTTAATTTCGCAGACCCTCCTTACACAATCAACAAAGCTGATCCCTCGCATCTTGTGTACATAATAGAAATTAAAGAACGAGGCTTTTTTAGATGACACTGTGCTGATACTGAGTATCGATTTACCTGGAAGGACTCTGAAAATATTTTTAGATTCTGTTTGCGTTGAAAATATCGATCAGCCTTGTAAAAATACTTTAACGGTGTGTACAAATATTTATCTTCAAAATTTGAAATATTGCCATTTATCAAAAACGTTCGTTTCTCTCAATTTTTATCTCTGTATTATATAGGACCTTTTGTACTCTTTGTCGATGTAAGCATATTTCATGTATCTACCCTATATCTCAGATTTCAGTTGTAACTATAGAGACTGTAGTCAGCCCGCGACATCGTCCCTACTTTTAGGGGACTTATTTACGTTTCGGGTTCGTAAGGAGATAGCCCCTCACAGTGGAACTGATGTCCTAGTGCAACTATAGACATGAACGAATTGTCGACTGATGGAAGCAATACAACATTGAAAACGATTTTACCGAGAGTTTGTGTCTGATCTTTGGCGTTCTGCTTTTGTGATGTGGCAAAAGAACGACGACGTCCTGGTCCTTTCCTTGACCTCCTGGGTCTCTCGAGAATGGTCTACTGGATGAAGATGCACTAGCTGCTGATGAGGATGAAGCCAGAGTTGTTGATCGCTCAGCATTTGAGTATTTCGAATAGGCAACATTCGTAACATGATTGCTGCCTCCGTATGATACGTTATGAGTATTGTTTACCTGCATTTTCAAAAACCACATATCATTAGTATGTACAGAAGAAAATATTGGTAAGTGATGTGCTGTCAATGTCTACATATTTTCAAAAATACTTCAAAATCCAAATCCTCATACATAGATTTTTATACATAGAATAGATATGCAATTTCTTGTTTTCTTTTTTTTTTTTTTTTTTTTTTTTTTTTTTTTTTTTTTTTTTTTTTTTTTTTTTTTTTTTTTTTTAATCAATTTATTTACCTGTACAAGAATGTGACAAGCTTGCGATGCGATTTGAAAGAGACCATCTTGTAAATTGCGTCCTCGATGATCATCACTTTCAGTGTTACTCTTTCCCCATCCGAAAAAAGACATTTTTCAATATTGAAATGCAGGTCTTAGTTCTCTATCTCGATGACGCATGTCGAATTCATAGGTTTTTTCCTTTAGATCCTGCAATCGACGTGTTGATTAATTAAAATTTTGAATTCAACTTTTCGAATTGCGTGACATTCATTAAATTTAAGTCAACGTCTATAGGAAATATCATTTGTCAGATTTCTAAAGGAATTAATCTTTGGTCGATTCATCATTTTTCTGTCAACCTTTTATTTGCAACATTACTATTCGCATTATGAACCTGTACACTTTTTTACGGGAACACAGTTTTTGCAATATAAATATATCTAATATACGTACGAAGCCAACAAAGCAAAATAGAGTAGAACCCCGATTAACTAGAGTCGGGATATTCCAGGAGCGATTTAATCGTGCGCCTTCCAGTGCCTCCCGTGCGTGACGAACACCGGGTGACCGGGCAAGGTGCGAGACATGTCTGAACTCAAAATACACTTAGTGCCTCAATATCTATGTAAGCAACAAGAAAGCTTTATATACTGTTATATAACAGAAGTAAAAGTTCCTGTGCATTACATTAGAATTGTCGGAACAATAAATTACGTTTAATTCGAATCAATTGGGGTTTCAGTTATCTCCGAAACCTTCGATCCCAAGCCACCCAGGTTAATCGGCGTTCTACTGTAATTCACAAATCAAGCAAGCCGTGCTATCTGAATTTCTAAAATTTCAAAAATTTTATTATCAATGATAGACACGTATATGAATAATATTTGTTTATGTGAGTACTTTGTTTCATTTTACCATATAAATTTTCGTAATATGGCTTCAACGACCTTAATATTATATAAATTTTTTTTAGAAACCATAAAGCAAATTACGTATTTGATTAATTTCTTGGAAAAATTCCTATTGGGATAATTTATATATGAATGGTTTTTGATTTTCGATGCGAGCAAAGATTTCGATCTAAGAACTATCGGTGAATATAGACATTTAATTACGCTGCTGGACTTGATGAATCATTTGATCTTTATCGCAGATTCCAATGATGAAATTATTCGAAGAAATGGTGGTGAGTAATATCATGAAGAATTTCTCATGCGTCTCGCACGGAACTGTTGAATATACATATAGCCAATGGCTAAATATAGGTAAGCACATACAATTTGATTACGAGCAAGATTTATGATTTTGTTTTGGGACATTAAACTGCGGGTTCACCATACGTAGCAGCTGACGATGGGCAGGTGCCACGTTTTCATTTATAAGCATTTATAATCAACACTGCTTTTCCACATCCGGAAACAAAAGTCAATGTTAATCTATTCAATTATTTGAAAAGCAATAGAAAAAATAATAATCTTAAGTCTTGAAGAAATTCTCTATTATACAATTTTCGTTTATATATCTGTCTTCAAAAGATGGACCCTTTTATTACAAGGATACGTTCAAACAATATATTACTTTCTTACATAAATTTCTATGTAATCAATCTAAAGCAATATTGTTTTTAACGAATTTACATACTCTTTAAAATTTATCTTGCATAATGTTTTTTTTTTCATTTATGTAATCAATTTTGCAAGAGTACTATTTTCTGTCTTGATTGTGCACGTATTTACAACAGATCAATCTTGTATCTTTACTTTTATATTGAAATTTGCAATTGATCGTTTTACGAATGTACATATCCTAGTTGTTCAATCGATAAACAAATTTACCTATTTAGTACGTGATTGATAGATTTTTCTGATCGCTAGGACAAAAAAGGTCTCACGGTGATCGATAGCGTCAGTTAATGAATTATATAGTTCAAGGGTAGTTTCACAGAATAATTGTTAATGTAGGGATTGTAATCTAATCTAATCTACAGGACTGACGTGAATAGGCAGGACGAGAAAATTACTACTTACGCGTTACCACGCAGTCTGATAGTTCTATGGAATGTACATACGTGGTTGTTTACATGGAGAGAATTTGCCGTTAATTTTTCGTATGAAATTCACGATAAAATTTACCGTAAAAACCAGCAACCGTGAGACATCGTTACCATTTCGTTACTTATTGCTTATAACATACAATATTTTGATTGGCTACAAGTAAATTTGACAGTGCACATGGTAAATATTGTTACTTACAATTTTTAATGTGTTCTACGGTAAAATGGACTTGACTGAATGTAAAATTTTCTGTTGTTTTACCATTGCAAAACGTATAGCGTTATACTGTAGAACCATTTCAGGCTGTTCAATCAACCTACATTTATTAAACTGAATCATAGTTTTATCATACTTTATTACTTTGAATCATAACTAAAACAAATAAATATAAATTAAACAATAATTTATTAAGCCAACTTCAAAAGAAAACAAAATTGACAAACGATTTATTACCAGATTTTGCGGTTAAAATTTTAGAAGTCTTTAGAAAAACGTATAAAAAGTCACAATTTTTTTCGTGCTTAACTGCAAAGGTATGAAAAATAGTGCACTGCGTGGTTAAATTGAATGCAGCACATGAGATAATTCGGCTGTTTTAAATGACTTTTTTAATTCAATAAGGTCTTAGTCTTACACTAGACATTTTTAAGTTTCGACATTTTTCTCACACATTTCAGTAAAAACTGACGTGTCATGCTTATTTTTTAGTATATTTTCGTGAATTGTTCTTAAATACATATAGGTATAGATAATATGTTATGAAATATCATAATGTCTCGTGATTACCATGATTTTTACGGAAATTTTGTATGAAAAATTCCCTTTGTATAGCTACCGGCATAAGGGTCCCTAATTATGTGCCCAATATTATAGACATAGTAATATACGCATATGTTACAATAAATTACAAGCATTTTTTATTGTTTCTGGAACTGAATTTTCAAGAATAATAAATTTGTTGTTTTTTGTAATGTCGATTCTCATTTACGTTTATTTCTTATAATTTTTTTTTTATTAAATCAGCTGTTACAGAAAGCAAGAACAGTATAATCACCATTGAACTGATAATGATAAGAATTTTCATTAATGCTTGCTAGAAAATATTTGTAATTATAAATGCTGTATAAAATTTTTGTTAAGGATCTCTGTGTATCTTTAAATTAAACTAAACCTCAAACGATTTCTCCATAAATGCTGTTAATCTAATTTTACATACGTATACGTATATTACTCCAGGACAGTTTTATATCCTGACTGTATTTATTTTTCAAAAAGAATATCGCAAGTCATCCATGTGTAACGTCAAAATGATAAAGTATATACGAACTGTCGATAAAGTAGGTAATGAAGAACCGAGTGAATCTACTTTACCGATTTTTAGTTGGCCCGTTTACAGTTAATGTAGGTTTAATGATAAATGATGATAAAACACCAAGGTAAACACTGAATTGAATATAGATTGAATATGGATAATAAAGATGATTGAAAAATTGAAATTTCAAAATCTGAACTATGCGCCAAAGGAATTGAAATGAACTCGTAATTTGGATTTGACCTTAGAACTTTTACGTTGATTGAGGGTTGCTGTATCTTCTGATTGATCTCTGACTTCTGATGCACGAAAAAGATTTATCAACTTGAAATGTAGGTTCCTCCTTTGGATTACTTCTCTCTCCTACATATCTATTGTCACTTACTCAGAGAACAAAGTATTGAAATGTTCAATAGTTAGGGATTTAATGATTAACAGAAATAATATATCATGGAGGAGAAATTATGATAATTATTCTACGCAGAACGATAAGAATTAATGGACTAATTAATATTAAGAATTAATCGTTCGGACGTGACACATGTTTTATACTTTATAGGAGGCATATATTAATTTGTGATATTTAAACTGTATCAATTGCAACTTATACGAGAATCAGCTGTACCGAAGTTCTTACATTTATTTTGAATGCAGCAAGGAATAACATTACGTACTCCGAAGTCAAGTACACTTGAGCCAATCGATCGAGTCAAATCCACTCGACGGATACAAGTTTTATTTTACCACGACAATAGAAGAGGATAGTTCGGTCAAATAGGCGGATCAACGAGACGTCAAGTATTGAAGTGGGTCATAAGTATTCGCAGTACCAATATTCCTCACTGGATGATAACAGTATCAACGTAATAGAAAGGGATAGAGAAGAGAGAACAAAATACAGAATTCATAGAATGAGTTCTGTCATGTGTTAATGTACACAGTCCGAGTTATTGATGGTCCGTGGAAGGGATGTTTACAGCACTGGCAAATACTAATGGACGTTCTTCACTGTCATTAAATTGTTTTGCATTGTACAATTGAAATGACTAAAAAATGTAAATGCTCATTATAATAAGAAAACGATGCAGTGCAAGTACGTGGATCCAGGTGCCACCAAAAATTTTCTTCTCCAAGTCTATCGATAAACCTATAGTCCGTGGAAGGCATGTTCACACTGCCGGCAAATACTCATGGACGTTGTTTATCGTCATTAAATCGTTTTGCATTGTACAATTGAAAAGATTAAAAAATGTGAAAGCTCACCATAGTAACAGAGCGATGCAGCGGAAATACGTGGATCTACGTATCGCCAAAAATGTTCCTTCTAAGTCTAACGGCAGACTTAGAGAGTGAAATTTTTAAAAGTAGAAGGAATAACATTGGCGACTGGAAACTGCGACATGGATATGAAACTGAGAATAATGGTGGGAGTATGTATGTTGCTGATTAACAATAGAGTGATAATGAATTCCATAAGAGGAAAAAGAAAATGGGAAAATTGTCAAGCTGGTCAAGCAGTGACATGTGATGAGATACATAAGCAATTATGTTGTACTCAAGGTGTGAAATTTTATTTTTTTTACGTTCTTATCTTTTATGTTAGAATATAAATTATCGCAATGAATGTAATTATTTTATCAACTTTGAGAACACTAACAACGTATTTTTACGTGGAGGTTGAATAATACTGCTCCAGATGTAGTTACGCATATAATGGAATTATGTATTCCTTGTCTGATTAATTTTAAAAACATAATTAAATATGGCTGATCGATTGAAGATTGTTGAAATATAAAACTTGAATGATTATAAGATACGATGAAATTGGGTTTTTTCTAATATATTTTGTTTCGCCTATAGCACAGATTTTGTTATATTCCTATTCTTTGGGATGCTGTAAACAAGTTTGCTTATAATGGTATTAATAATTTTTTGACTAATATAGAATAATAAGGGTCAAATATGAAATGCCATACGCTGTGTTCTATGTTAACTTCAGATTAAATCATATTTGTCTATTGTTACTGGATTATTGCCAAAAAAATTGAATTTAATATAGCTGTAAAATAATTTATTTATTTTATAACACGCATCGTCATTTCACATTAATTAAGTCGACTCGATTTATATTCATGTTATATTCGTTGAGACTCATTGCAAAATATTTTAAGAATAAAATTAGATATGAAAATAATCCATAAATATTACTACTAAGATAGTTAAGTATAGATACTAAAAGTTATCAGTATAATTTTGTCAAAATAATACGAAAATTAATTTAAAGTCATATTCTCCTGTTTTATCAATTTTGAATAGTCTGCAATAATAAAATTTGTGCACGGCTTAAAAGCATACAATATATACAGAATTACAATAAACTTTATATTCAAAAGACATTCGACCGTATGGCACAATGGCCTATAATGCTCCCCAATAAACGGTTGCTACATTTAAAAAAATACGTCAACAGAATATTACGCAAAATATGGAATATAAAAAAAAACCAATTCAATTTAAAATAACTTCGATACAGACAAACGTACAAGTAAAGTACCTTGTATAACGACTATGAAAGCCGTATTATATGCAAGTATTATACATAAACTACAAGCAAATAGCAAATATAAGGAATCAGGAAATTTAAACCGTAATATAGTCACAATTTAATTTTTCCTCATGCGCCCATACGTTCTATACGTATTCCGAAAATGAGTACAATAATACACTTCGATTATCGATCTGATATACCGAAGCAACCTGTTTTTGATGCCATTGGATACAATACAAGGCATGCTCCACAGTACGTGCGCAAACGAAACCTGTTCCGCTATGCCGCTATGTGTACAGAAATCTGACCATACTCAAAGCTGTTTACATGACAGCAACAAACTAACGAAATATTATTTAATAATTACACAAATTGACATATCCCACACGGTTATTTAAGTTTCATCAGAGACTAAAGCAGCTACTACAAGACACAAAATTTTATAACTAATATTTACCATTTTCGTAGCAAATGACAATCGATGTCAATGTTCTTCATGTGTCGTCATCTCTTATAAATAAAGCACTGAGAACATTTTTCACAAAACAAAGAACACTGAGTGCGTAGCGCATTGCACTTGTAACGTTAACTTTACAGGTGGAACAAAAAGGCTGTCCGCCTCGAACAGTTGATCATGGAGTATCGATTCGATTATTGTAGTTCACTATGACTCATCGACCGGCGATGTCGTGTATTATTGAAAAAGCACGATTCAGTGAGTAAGCCAAGAATTGTGCTTTGACGTAAAAGCTCTTCTAGGTGGGAATAACACGAAATTTAAAGCTCTCCGGTATCCGTCGTAGGAGCGACTTGTAAGTTGAACCTGGCTAGGCTCTAGGTACGACGAACGAACGTTTGTAGGTTGGAGGTTCTAGTTGGAGGTTTCGGGTGGGAAGGGACGGTCAGGGGGTCTGCCTGCCCCATGGCAAGCCTGCGCTTAGACGTCTTGTGTGACCTCGATACACCTTACTGGTGAATACAGGGACGAGTCACGATTCCGCCATTACTACTTATTGTATTTTTTTTGTACTAGGAAACTAAATTCTCGTGCCTTCTAATCACCTAGGAGCCATATTGGAACCCGAGTTGCTCTTTCGTCTTAATCTAAATATTTCTTTCGCAAAATCATCCGCACGACTGTTAATGAATTTTGAATGGACTATTTCCTGTGTCTATCATCCAGCGTAAAATTTGTGCAATTTCGTAGAGAACAATATGCATTTTTATTAGTGTAATGAAATTTTTATTTTTCTTCTCATTGGATTATTATTTTTGTAATCTGTACCTGCTTGACAGGCATTTCTATGTCGTGAAAGTAAAGGAAGAGAAATATGGGGATGGTAATGCTCTGATAGTTTTTCATGGGTTTATTCCAACATCCTGATAAATTGCACGGGATGTTGTTGCACGTAGAGTAACTAAATTTTTTTATAACTTTCCACCGTATGAGATTACAAAACGTTACACTCTGTAAATATTGTACGGATAAAAGCTGAATATCAACATTTTGCAAATACCTTTGTACTATGACCCATTTCTGCACAGGTTATGATCAAATCCGGCGTTCGGTGTACAAGTGCATTATTTCAATTTTGAAACGTTAATCGAAGCATTTACACCATAAATCTGTCAGTTAGAAATTCGAGAGCATTGATATCTATTCCACTCTGGACTTAAACTACTGGCGCGTGAAATACTTTTTTTTAATTATTCACGTGCAACGGTAATTGCACATATTGCATGTTAAAAAAATGATTTTTCATGCAATTTTAAGGTTAGAAATGTTTAATTCGACCTAACTTAAATTCAATGTTTTAGCCACATAAATACATAAATACATATTATAACGACGCTTTCTCTGCGTGACTGATAAATAATAGATATCCTGAAAAATTCAAAAAGTAAAAGAAATATACCCACTTTTCACCATCAGTTACAGAGAAGCTGTACCGTTTAACTGTCTCCAAAGTTTATCCCTCACCAGCTCTTATGCGGTGGGGCCGTGAATTGGGATACGAAAAACGAAAACTGAAATAATTAACTGGGGAGGTTCACCAGAAACTTCAGAGATTATTCCATAATAGCCATAGCCGATAGTCATAGCCGATTTATTTTATAAAAAAAGATAACATTAATAATCAATAATATGGAATTCAATTAACAAAAGAGAAGACAGATCGAAATGGTACGGAACGCAATTTGACAATACCCGAAACTATATTCTAAAATAATGTTCCCCCTGGAACAAAGCTCCAAGCGATACGATAGTCACTGACGCACCCGTGTGCTAGGGAGAGGATTCCGCGTTCATCTCTGCTCCCTCGATATACAGCTCAGTGCCGCTACTGCAAACTCCGTATGCCCTGTGATCGTAAAGACACTGGCCGAATATCCGCGTAGTTGGCTTTCTAGGGTGTGTGCTTGGGTCTTGCTGACGGTCGGCCGCCAAATCCGTAGCTGGCTGTTTCGGGTCCCGTGATACTACAATTTTTTCTGAATCCTCTCGAATCAGCTTAATGAAACCAAAGTACAGAAGAAATGCTCCCTACAGGAAAACCAATACGAATCCTCAAAATAAATTCAATTCAACACCACAAGAAGGCTCCGTAACCCATCGGGACCCACGATGTCGCCAAATTCACCTAATTCGTGACGTGGCATCTTGATCCACGTCACAATATATATTTCTTGTTAACCTTATCTATTAATATAATACAATTAATATAATTTTTAAGATTCAATTAAACTGGAATATTTTATGGGGAATGATTTTAAAGGGGAGTATTTCCTGTATTAATAGGACGTTATAGAAAAGGGACCGAGGGTCTTTACGAAGCACCGGAAAGTGAAACATTGAATGTCTCTTGGGAGTCATTGAATAAATAATTTATGTAGGCAGACTAAGTTACGTGTATCGTAATATATAAGTCACAAGAACGCATGAGAATTGTAATTAGGTTTCTCAGGTAGAAAATTACGCCATTACGTTCGCTAGCGAGTAATTGAAATTCTTTTTTGCACAGGAAGATATCTACCTACCATACACAGAATTTTTCCATAAAACTGAGAAACGTAGCTGCAAGTGAATTTAACTTTTATTTTGAGAACTCTTCGTTTGTGGTATTCGATATATGTATATGATGGTAGCTAGACGAATACCCGAAGACATCCTACGTTCAAGATCTTTTTTTTGTGTGTTATAAATAAAGGAATGTTAATGAAGTTTTACTCGCTGCATAGTAAGTTTACATATTTATCATTCCTACAAAATTCATCGTTTATTAACATTTAATAACTTCAAAGGCAGGACTCGTCGAGGAGTAACCAATAGCAATAAAATGTCTGGTCTGGAATGCGTTGAGAAGGGTTAATCTATAGAATAACAATATTTCAGATTCTTTATAAATAAATGCGCCAAAATCTTTAGTCCTAATTAAATTATTCCAAGAGCAAAGGTACGTTTTTTTCGGGTGCCTACGCGGAGCACCTGTCATTCTCCGCCATATAAAATTGTACTGCGGTCAAAGTTTTTCAGACGGCTTTTATTAAACTCTATGATGCATAATATATGCAGAATTTAAAATTCGTATATAATTTTCTAATTTTCGATTTTCTTTCAAAAAACAAATCATCAACTATGATAACAGCACAGCTGATAATTTACAGCGTTACTATCTCACTTTGAAAACTACCATAATTCTAATATAAGATCGAACTCGTTCTCGCATCTTTCTATGATACCTTTTTTGTGAAAAACTTTGGTAATTCCACTTTTTTAAGTATGACACTTAACATCACCAAACCGTTCAGTCGATTGCCTTTTTAATATTTTAGATATCAAGATAATTAATATGAGTAATCTCCAATTGAAACGCAAACGGGAGCTTTTCCGATGTGCCTTTGTACTAATATTTCATTTTTTTAAAATGACAATCATTAAGAGTTCCGTAACCGGGCTTGAGATTTTTTTAACATTATGCTACGTGATGAAATTTTAGTATAGCATAAAATTATTAATTTCTGAAGAGTATCGTCTTACGCTCGGAATGCCTTAATTGAATTAGTTACCGAGACATTTCCCAGTATCGAGCGTCAACGTTTTTGCCCCTTATCCAACACGAAAGTTTGGTGACAGAAGGACTTCTTAAATATTCAAGTAATAAAGTTTCCCAAAAATGACTGATCGATATATCGATTAGTAGGAACACTACGCAACTCTTGACATTATGAGGGATGAGTCCAGCCGAAACACTTGCAATACTATCCTTCTTATCACGGAACATGTCGAACGATGATGTCACTCAAAGAAAAAAACTTCTGACTACCAGTCGTAAGTCTGAAAATAACAAATTTATTGAAATTAATATTTTTTGATATCATTTTTTTTTAACGCGATACAATTGATAAATAAAATTGATTTAGTGAAAGGAGAAAATATTTTCTAATAATTCTGTTATTTACGAAATATATACTTTTTCATGAGGATGCATGTAAATATATACAAAATTATCAACATAGAACAAGATTATACAATAATATAATGGAATGAATTGAAGTATTTGCAGTATATTATTGCTTCGTGCATTATATTAGCGTAAATATAATATGATTTTGATGAGTGCTATCTAAATAGATATAATTAATTTTAAAAAATATTTAGCACGTAATATCATCATTATATTATACTTTTAAAGATTTTACATATTTACTTATTATTGTATATTCTTACGTCTCGGCTCGTAATAAAAGGGAGCGATCGTAATAATATACGTAGAATACATTGTCATGGAATAGATTAATATATTTCATAGTATACAATGAAAATGACTGTTATACATATATTCATCGCATTCCATATTAAGAATATACGTATCATTTAACATGATTAATCAATTGATATTTAATAATTGTTACATTTTTTTATCAAATAATACTTGATAGATATACATTGAGAGGTACCATGTGAAAAAATTATATACAGTATTTCATATACAAAAATGAACATATACATATAATCCATAATAATCTACACTTGGCACGAGACTCTAACAAGTCCCATGATATATTAAAGTTATATAAACTTATAAGATTTCGATTGAATATTGAGTTCTTTAAAGTACGGTGACTAAATTATTGATGAATCAATATCACTGTCATTTGTTTAAAACATGATTTACAGTATTTTTTGGCAAAATTTAAAAAGACAAGTTGTGGCCCCGGGTGAGTCAAGAGGACGTTAAACACTCCGATTATAAAAGAGCAACAGTGCCTGTGATAACACATGAGTGTGGTACCTATTGCATGTTTACGTACTGAAAAACGCCAGTATTAATATAAAGCCCCTTAAAAATTTTACCGGAAAAATGTATTGTACTAAAACACGTATTTCGCCATTTTTCACATTAAATTTAAGTTCGATACTCGCGTAACTCACTTTTCGAATACCTTGTATATCTCATATGTAAAAATAAGTCAAACGAAATATATCTCGAATTAGTTCCCTGCAAGGATAAAAAAATGAAGAACAATTTCGTGCAGATATATTGAAGTGTGATGGCACCCTCCAATTATATTGTAATCAAGGGGCTTGTCAAATGGCACCGTCACATATAGCATGTAGTAATATCACAACTGTCGCGTGTTCATTTCTGGATAAAGTTGGATACCTGCTCAAACGACAATGCACGTATCGTATTGATTTTTAATCTAGGGAACTTCCCTAACAGAATTCTCACGTGGCGTCTTTCGCGCCAGATTCATGAATATCAAAATCGCTTTGTCATATCATCCACATAAGAAACCCTTACCAGGGAAATATTTCCATTGTTATTATTGTATAGCACGATAT